AAGATTGATGAAGATCAAAGAGAACAATTGATTAAGTTTTTGAACGAGATCTTTTGTTTAATAATATATCCAAATACTTGGTTGTTAATATAGTACAATGATACTTCCCCTAAATAGGAGTTTTATTAGAGACAGAAAATTAACATTTAGATTAAAGTGCAAAAATATTCATAAATATATTAATATAAATATCAAAACCTTCTCATGATCAGTTATTAGACTTAGCTCATATCCGTCAATATGGGGCAGATACTAACAATTGGCTTACTTTAATTTCATTTTCAGTTGACTTGGTAAATATTATGTGCATGTAATTCATGTATTAAAAAAAATTGTTCCCTGTATCACGATGGGCTTGGAAATCACTCATTCAAAGTAAATAACACGGTATAAATATATATATATGAGATATCTAATTAAGCTGAGCAAATAATAATGTTGGTTAATCTAGTCAATACTTTTTCAAAAGACGTTCATCATCTGATTTTTTTAACAACTTAATCAACACGATCTGATTTTAACTCATATGTTACTGTTATTATATATGGATGAAATTAAAATATATTGACCTTTCTTCAGTTGTAGTAAAATTAATTATTATAGAAACTTCTGTTTTTAAAAACAACACACTCTTATGCGTTTTTTTTTTTGGGCCAAACTCTTATGCGTTTGAAGAAGGAAAAAAAAGCAAGTGTAGATGTATTTATATAACTAAATATTTGAAGATAAATTTGTTTTTTTTTTTCTGAAGAGCCGTCAATTCATACTATCACATAAATGACTGAAAAATAAAGAAAATAACAAAAGAAAGAATTAACGAAATTTGTCACCTCTTTCCTACTTGACTTCAAAGTCTTCGCTATCATAACCCCCAAAATAAAAACAAAGAAAAGAAAAGTCTCCGCTATAATATGGACAAATATTAAACAAACCATTTTACAAGCTTTTGCTGTCCACATATTGTGGATAAATTTTACAATTTCAAAATCATTTTAACGCAGATGCCTACAAAATAGATAGCTTCTATTTTTTCACTTGACTTGGACAGAAAAACCCAAAGTAAAATTGTCTTTTGCATTAAAACTTCATCCACTCGAAGTAAATAACGCGTACAGAAGAAGAAAGAAAAAATTCTCTTTCGCATTAAAATTTTGACACAAACCAAAAAAACTGAAAATGAAACTTAATTACATTACGCCGACTTCAGCTTACTTAGCTTGAATTATCTCCAAGTAAGACTACTATATATGAGTGTCCAGTTAAAACAATAATCAATTGTGGATTAGTGAGCGTGTATCACTCCCACTGATCACTCCCTCATGCGTGGATGCATTGTGATTATGTTATTTGATGTAATTAATTGAACAACTTTGAGAATCATGCAAAATAAAGTTAGTGAATGGCATATTATGATATGTATAGATGAATTATTGTGCCGTGAATAAAGGTTTGTAGAGTCATCCAATAAATAATTTTCAAACCAGGTCCACATATTGACAAATTTTATTGACCACATGTGTCCATGTAATATGGAGGATAAGGTTTGATGGATGAAGAAATGAAAACACACCTTTTTTGTTAATATATATTTAAATTAACATCACATCTAGAATGATTATCGGCAAAGCATTGAATGTCTGATGCCCTTAACTATAATTAATAATAATAATTCTAGAATTTGAATAATCTCATTCAATTGGTAAGTTGATCGTTAATTTTTATAAAATTTAAAAAGATGGTAAGAAACAATCGGAAAACATGTAAAAATGGTTCTAATGCTTGGGGACCGACCACCATATATATGTACTGGAATTTTTTTTTTACTCTGCACACGCGCCTACACACACTGAGTACAACATCAAATAATAAATATGCTATATCCTACAAAATCCATGTGTCGAATAAAAAGAAAAAGAAACTACTCAATCCATTCTTAAATATATGCTACTAGAGGGATGATTTATTTGGTCCAGATCAACTAATTATAAGCCATTGGAGAGGTTATTTTGATGCATTAACTAATTATTTCCAACTTCATTAAACCTAATTAAAAATCTTCTCTCAATTATGAATCAATTGGGGAGAAAATGATAAAAAATTATTTTAGGCAGTTTGAACATGAACAAAAAATTATTTTAGGACGTGTTGAGTTTTTTTGAAGGGATAGAGAAAGATCATGGAGGGAAACATTTAACTTTTTGAACTAGATCTTTTAGTTAATAACATACCTAAAGATTTGGTTGCCAATAGAATACAATAATATTGTGCAATTCATATAGCTGATCCTACCTAATGAAATATAAGGCTTCTTGTTTTTGAATATATTTTTAAAATTAATTTGCATTGCTCAGACTTCGTCTTACTCGAATTATCTCCAAGTAGCTCCACTTATATCACTACGAGTGTTAAGTTAAAATATTAATCAATTGAGGATGTGCGCATCTCACTCTCACTCGCGTGCGCACATATTGTAATTATATTAATCGATATAATTTTGACAATTTTGAGATTCATACAAAATAAAGTTAGTGAATGACTTTGCCTTCGATACCACAATGGAGATAATTTCTCTAGTCGATGGAATCTACTTCTTCTACTATATAAAAAAAAAAGTTAGTAAATGACATTTTATGATGTGTATAGATGAATTGATGTGCCCTGAATAAAGCTTTGTATAATCATCCTATATAGAATTTTCAAAACAGGTCCCATATTAACAAATTTTATTACTATGACTGTTAAGTTAAAATATTAATCAATTATGTGGATTAGTTAAATCCCTTGACTTATACAACCTCATGCCCATAATAAGGTCTTGTTGGTTCCCACATAGAAACAAAAGCTGTTACCAAAGTCGTTCTGGAAAACTAAACAAACCGGAACATATCTGAGATGTCTGTAACCTTTTTTTCTGCAACACTAGAGAAAAGAGAAAATATCATGTTTTTATTAATAACAATTATATTGATAAAATAACTTATTCTTACACCCTTTATTTCACTAATTTATATGTTTTTCAAAATAATGATTCAAATTTCATTTTTTTTTTGTTTTGAAAACTTGTTCTAAGAAAATATTTTATAGAATCATTTTTAAGAACATAAAAACAGAAAACAGAATAAAATAAGCCTGTAAAAACCGTGATGTTTGACTTGGATCAACAGATGCAAGTCTTAGATTAGAAGACTTTTCCTTATAAACAAGGGTATTTGTTAAAAGATACTCCTTATCATATTTTTTGTATCAACGATTTGGTTATCTCTTATATTATTGACTTGCTGTTATTACATATGAATGATCTATATAAATATATATTGACCTATTTTCAATTTTACTAAAATTAATTATAATAGAATGAAGAGAAATATTTAGGTAGACAAACTACACCATGTTATTTATGGTCTATCTAATAAAAACATGACATTTAGATGGCATTAAATATAAATTAATTATGATATTAATGATAATAGAGAGAGAAAAAACAAGAAATCAAATGCGCATATAAAAATAAAATCAATTTAAAAAATATCACACAATATTTTATCTAAACTACTTGATACATTTTAATTGAATAGACCACAAATGACATGGTGCGTCTGATCTACCTAAGTATTTCTCTAGAATTAAACTTCTCTTTTTTTTTTTTTAATGCGCGCTTGTGTGTTTGAAGAACAAAGAAAAGCAAGGATGGAAGTATTTATATAACGAATTAAATATTTGAAGTCTTCGCTATAATAATGGACCAATGTCAAACAAATCTTCACTTTGCAGGGTTCACATACTGTGGATCAATTTTGAAATTTGAAAATCATTTTAATGCAAGTGCTTGCAAAATGGATGGCTTCTTTTTCTTTCTCACTTGACTTGGAAAATTTTAGTGAGTAATGTTAATTGATGTTTTAAGATTTTTGATGGATGTGAAATTGCCCCAAATGCATTGAATTTTGAATCATTCTAATCCACTCACATTCAAAGTAAACAACACGTCATATAAAAAGAAAATAAAAACTTTTCTTTAACATTTGAATATACCCCATAACTGCTAAACACTATATCTATCAATATTTTATCTTTAAAATATGGACACAAACCACAAAATCTGAAAATTAAAATTATTTTTATTACTCAGTCCTTTGCTTACTTGAATTATTTCCAAGTAACTCCACTTATATTACTATGAGAGTTAAAATATTAATCAATTGTGAATGTGTGCGTATCTCACTCTCCCTCACTCGCGTGCACGCATTGTGATTATATTATTGGATATAAATTTAACAATTGTGAGATTCATGCAAAATAAAGTTAGTGAATGACTTTGCGCTCAATATCTCAGCTAAACAAAGAATTATTGCGTCTTATTATTTTCCGTCTTTTGAATTTCTGAAATCTCAACTAAACTAAAATGTCTAAAAACTTTTTTTCTTTTAAATTTCTTAATAAATGTTCTTTCAAAGGACGAATAGCAAAAAATAGTTGTGTCTATTACAAATTAAACGGCGTATCCTCAACCTATAAGATTGACTATTGTACAAAAATGGTTCTGTCCTTTTTTTTTTTAAATGACTACTCTGTTTATATGTGGATGAGATTGGGAGCCATCTGGAATTTGCATTTGAATTATTTCTTGACTTGTTTAAAATAAATGAATACTCCAAATTTGATTAATCAGCGTTAGTTGATTAAGAAATTAAAGAAGCTGTTTCTCTTTACAATGCTCAAGTAGACAATGCTCCTACAGTAAAGCTTGTGAAAATCTCAATATTTAGCTATGAACAAGCATGGCACAGGCATTGAAATTGTCATGATCTTGAAGGGAACATATGGTTTTGTATCTTTTTGGCATTGAAATATGTAAATACTAAACTTGGATGTCTGTTCTAAATTCTCATCTTAAATTCCAGTTTATTTAATCATAACACATGTAAGTATCATTGATATCACGACACCTTTTTTGTGAACCTACCACAAATGGAAAATTAATCTATCTTCGGGTAGCAGGAATGGATGATGGATTAAATGTCAAGGAGAGGATTTGCTATGTGAGTCAGGATATATCTAGTATTGTACTTGATCATCTATGTCTCAGGTTATCATAACAATGGATGGTCCATTTCCTTATGTTGTCATCCAGTAACTAACATTAATGCATGCACATGGTTAGTAATTGTAGCCTTTGTTCTTGGACTATTTGTTACTTGCATATAGACATGGTTCCAAAACTGAGGAGGATTTAATAGCTGGAACCACAGGGTACATTGTATATTTAATCTATCATCACTATGAAAATTAAGGTACTTTTATTGTTGGGAAATTTATTTTATGTTCTTTGCTTAAGTTAACTAAGTATTTTAACCAAAATCTTTATATGTGAAATCTCATTGTATGTGGTCTCTTTTTAAATGTGCTCTTACTGAAGCCCCTTCCTTTGATTTTGTAAAGTGATTTAAATGTGTAACATTCCTATGTTTGCTTATCCAGTCATTTTGTTTGATTTCTGCTGTCAATCTCAGTATTCTAAACTTCTTGTGCGTTTCCATGTTCTTTCTTCCTTGTTGCAACTGTAGTTGAATTCCATGATGGACATGAGAAGTGAAGTGCAAGTTCGCGCGAGCAGTGGCCTTCTTGCAATATTAGAGAGTGAGAGAGGATTGTAGACACTCTTGAACAAAAGGAATCTGGTAATGGATCAGTCACAATACATTCTGTACTTCTTGAATAAGGTTTGTTACTGTTTTTGAATGCAAATTTAGATTATGCCAATGTCGTAGCATGCATAACTAACCATTTGTACTCCATGCAGTGTGTGACACCACCTGGTATAATCTCTCGCTATACTTTTGTTAGCTTCAGATTCATGGGAATGAGGTTAAACTTCAATATTATTTTCCTAATATAAAATCCCTCTGCAGATCCACCGAATTTTCAATTAACCATTAAATGCAAATTTTCTTCAATGGAAAATGTATATCTTTCTTTGTTTGCTCAGAAGAACTGGTTGCTTCTTTACGCGAAACCCTGAAATCTGTGAAGGACATTCCTTACTTGCTGAAGTTAACAGATTAATTCAACTCCTTTTTTCTTTTCTCTCACTAGTCGGACTAAATTTCTTATAGGATTATTTGTGAAGTTCTCTTAGTTTCGGTAATGTTCAAGAGTCCCAAGACCCTCAGGTAATTGAAAAAAATCATGATGTGCACAACACTAACTATATATGTTTGCTAATTACATGGGTCGAAATTCTGCATTAATCATTGAAGTAGAGTGATTTTCATTATGCTATGCTGGGTTCCTAAAAGTGTAAACTACTGTTATTTGAAGATAGGCCAACATGATTCGGTACAACGAAAAAATTATGAGATGACAATTGTTTACTGAAATTTGCTTTCAATGCTTCTCTGTTCTGCATTCCCTGCATACTGATATTTTTAGATATGTAATTTCAATACTGAAGAAATTTGATTCATTTTAATAGTATATTTCTCCTCTGACTGTCTTGCTGGTACTCGGTTCCTATTTTTAGGTGTAAGATTAAAATATTGCAATAAGGACTCAATGGACACTAATTACTTTTTTATTTATTTTCTTCTTTTTTACTGTTTCACTTCTACTCGCAACTTATCACAGTCCCTGTCATTCAACTTTTGTCCCAAAATGTAGTTTATGCTAGTTAGAATACCGGACTATTTACTTTCTCTTCTAAGCATTTTTAAATTAATCTTGATAATAATTCCCCTCAAAATAGTGTTTTTTCAATTCATTTAGAACACTGAAAACTTATAATTATATTGTTCCTTTCTTAGAAGTTTTGAACAGAGGACAATTCATCTTGAGAGGGGAACCCAAATGTAATAACCTGGAAAATAATTATGAAGATGAAATGGCATTAAGGTAAAATTTATTGTATTTTATTATTGTTGAAAAAATATTTAACAAGGTGTGTTGGTGGGCCTTGGCTCTCCTTCAATTGGCCGTTAAGGAGGGATTTTATTTCTGTAACTTATGATTAAAATTACCATTTTGTTCCTCTGGTTATGTAGGAAATATAGATCTCACGCGTGTCATTTTTCTCCACATTACTTCTTCGATTTCTCCAGAACCACCGAGAGTGAGAGAGAGCTCTGATTGTCTCGCCGCCCTCTGTCATTTCCTTCACCCTTCTACATCGTCGCGGCGTCGCCCGTGAGGGCTTCAACTCTGCCGTGAGTTCGCTGTCGTTACTCATTTTCTGCTTCCTTGATGTTGTTTAGCTCAAGCCTTCTCCTGTCGATTCACTCCTCCGTCTTCTTCGTTTTCCTTCTCTGCATTTGCCATAGCAGACGTTGGTGCTTGTAAAGGCTTCGACCGTCACTGTTGAGCTTTCTCCTTCCCTATTCGGCCAGTGGGGTTCTCTGTTCTTTTCGAGCAACAGAAAGATTCAGGTGCATTGCCGTTCTGGTATGGCTGTGGAAGCATTAAGATTCATCTTGCGTTCCCCTATTTTACATCGTGGAATGCTGACCATTGCGGGTCATTGTAAGCTCATCCGATCACCATTCTTCTCCATCGCCAGCTGTGGGTTCTTCAATTTTGGGCTGTGGCAATCATTCTTTGCTGCAGAAGGTGTGACGCTGTGCTGGTGTGGCTGTGGAGGTCGCATCAAACTCTTTCCTCCCTTATTTCACCGTCGACTCTCCCTCTCCATTTCTTCCGTTCATCTGCGCATGCGTTCGAGGAAGCAGGAGCTGTTCATTTCCCTCTATTCTTTGTTCATCCTCCCCTGTTTCTCGCTGCAAACATCTTCGCTCCTCTCTCCCTCATGTTGTTGCAGATTCTTCTTCCTTCCTCCTCCTTGTTCGTTCGCCTGGGATCATCTCCTTCTCTGCTCGGTCATACTGGTTCCAGGTGAGGAGCTTCGAATTTTCTTTTTGCTAGCTCTGTGTGTGTGCTGTAATGGCTGAAACTATGGAATTTTCTTGTTCTGCGTTGCTCTGTGTGTTGGAGTATGAATAGAAAACTGATTTAATTAAAATTTGTAGTGTAAAAGGAAAAAAAAACAAAAGAAGAAGAAGAAGAAGAAGATAGGTGTCAGTTTGAAATTTGAACTTGATGTAATTATTGATGTTGATACATTATTGGGCAATTGATTGGAGTTAAGAAGCTCCATTAAAAGAATCAGGAATTGATGCTTGGTAGGTATTTATTGAAAGGTCTAAGAGGGGATCTTCTTACCATTTAACAATTTAGTTTTGGTCAAAGTCATATGAGAAAACTTTGTAATAAATAATGATGCTTAGGAAATTTTAAATTATTTGGATCAATTATATTGTCATTGTTAGAAGGAAGTTTAACGAAATTGTAAGGAGTCTAATAAATTGCTGTTGTATGAGGGGATTGGAAGAGAAGTTGGTACCATAGCTTAAATAATAGTGCTTGTAAAGCATTTGGTGAAATGCTTATTGGAAGAATCTTACATATAATGGCAATATATATATATATATATAAATATATATATATCAATGATAGTTATTTTGTTGTTAGCCAAATATTATAAAAGACTTTTTATAATAGAAGTTGAGGTAAAACTAAAGATTTTTAAAATAGGCATCTTGCTTGATAATTCGTGGGCAAATTTGCTATTGATATGTAAGTCTTTGGAATTTATATGGAATTATTGGTGCAAAAAAAAAAATTGTTGGAGTTAAAATTTATCTGTCTTTATTTTTTTTATTAAATTGATTTATAGATTTTGGGTTCTAAAGTGTATATAAGAAAATGATTATAGTATTATTTTGGCATTAGGAGATTAAAGGCCAAGTATCATTGCTAGAAGATTAAATTGGAAGCAAATTATATTTTAAAACTCTTCAGGTAAGTGGATAGCGTCCCAACTGATTTGTTTAATCAAAATTTTTTTTACTAGAATATTATGTTTTTCTGAAAATCATTTTAATAGCATTAATATGATTATTGGATATTTTTTTATTAACATTACTTTATTTTGAGAAATTAGCTTTATCAAATTTGAAATGTTATTTGATCAATTAAATTAAGTTTGAATTTTAATTATGAGATTTTTATTTTATCAAATATTGGATTGATACAGAGAATGATTCATGCGAGTTCGACTTTGAAATTTTTGATTATTCAATAAATCCAAGCATGAGCATTGGATATGAAATTTGATTCTGGCAAGTTTTAATGTTTAAAAGTATTCATGCGAGTTTGATTTTGAGAATGAGAACTGTATCTTGAAAGTGATGATTTTCTCGCATGTTTGAAAATGGTTTTAAAAATAGACTTTATATAGAACACTGGTTGCTAACGGCAGTTCCGTTAGCCCTTGGAGCGCCATGGTACACCTAGCTAACAGGGTATGTATAGGAGGTGCTAGCCCCGTGCGTTGGCCAACGCACGTGGAACGGAGGGATGGTTATTCATGAGCATCACACTCACGTTTGTTTCGTGGCCTCAGCTGCATTCGATTACATACTCTCGTGGACTGTGTGTCCATGTTTGTTTCATGGCTTTGGCTGCGTTTGGTTACTTATCCTCGTGGATTGTGTGTCCACGTTTGTCTTTGTGGCAAGAGCCGCGTTTGGTTATTTATCCTCGTGGACTTTGTGTCCACGTTTGTTAATTGTTCTGATAAGTCCCTGAAATATGAATTTGATTATTTGATGATTTTACATTCCATTGGTTTTTAATTAATAAATTATTTATAATTATTTATTTTATTTATTTACTTTCTTGCAATCAAGTGATACTAATATTTGATATGATATTTTAATAGTTCAAGATTTTATTTAAACCTTATAAAATTCTTTTATTTTTGAAGAATACTAAATTTTTATGAAAATCGTTACCTCTTTGAATTGCATAATTGTTTCAAACTTTCCTTTTATTCATGTTCAATTATTTATTATTGGGACGTTATTCACTGAAAAAGATATTTTGGTCTCAGATGGTATAGTTGAACTCATGACTCGAAATATCCACTAAGGAGTTTTATTGCTGAATTGAAGTAGAAGAATTATTTTAGTCAACTCCTAATTTGATGAAAAAATTTGAACTTTATAACTACGTTGGCATTGGCCTTAGATGCTCCACGTAGACTACAGGTAAGATCCTCATATTTCTTTTAAAAATTGAATATTTAATTTAATATTGTAACAATTTCTAATTATTCTATTAGTATATTTAACGTATTAATTCCAGAATTTTTTTGATCACGGCTTAAGGGATATAAGTTTTGTGCCCATATCCCGTGCCAATCACATCGGATTTTTGGGGGTGTGACACCAAACGTCATCATTTTTCTGCTTAACCCGTATTATGTTTTTCTCGCGTCAATGTTATCAATAATATGCCCGCTTAAAATGTAGTTTATAGATGTTAAAATATGGAACTATCCAGTTGCCTATTTCAAGTATGTTTTTAACAAATCTTGACAATAATTCCTCCCATAAAAGGTTGTCTTTTTCTATTAACTGACAAGTTTGAAAACTGATTATTGTATTGTTCCTTTTGTATGGGACAATCAAATTTGAGACTACAGAAGTCATGTGTCATTGTTTTCAATTGATTCTGCTTTTATTGCATCAATCTTCTTGTAAAAAAGATGCATGCTTTAAGATGTCTGATTTCATCACTACTAATAGTCAATGTAATTGACAGACTTTATTCAAGTCGGGTATAACTTGGTTTGATTGAATCCTAGCCTCCTTAAGTGGTGATGTGTTTTGCAGGTAATCGGTGTTATTGATGTAAACAGAACAAAAGAAAAGGGTGTGCCTCGATGGTTAAAGAGGGTTTCTGTGATGAGGTTAAACCTAATTTTCATGTTTTTTATTTCCACCTTAACATGCCGATAAAATGAAATTATACAATATGCTCTTAGCATTGAACTTTGACATCAATATCTTTCTTCATATACGGGGCTTCTTGAATGAGATTGTAACAAATAATTTAGTCCGTGGATTTTCAGGTTCAATCTACGCATATTTCATAAATGCTCCTTCTTTCATGAGGTTAAACTGTGGACAATCTTGTTATTGAGTAGTCGGATGAGCTCAAGCAAGTACACAAGGAATTGCCAGGATTCCTTGAAGAGGTGACTTCTATACAAAATTTAATTCTATGGAAAAAAAATTAAATTTATTTTAATCATGCTAGATATTTTGTAGGTTTCGTTGCTAGAACTTGCTGAACTTCCTAATCTGTGCAAGGACAGGCTTGTTGCTCGTATTGTATATATGCAACAAGTAGGTAGTTCTGACTCTTCTGAAGTGTATTTGCGTGAAAAAGATTAATAAGTGATGAATTTTCATTGCCCTTCTAATATTAAAAAAGTGTGCTTCTTCTACTAACAGACTTCCTTGAGTGTTAGCCTTCCTCTTTAAGACATGTTTAGAAGGTTATTGTTCTACTATGCGTTGAGCACACTAAAATTTTTGTTGGATTTTCATGTCACATGCTAAAGCATGTCCATGTAATTGCTAAAACTAATCAGCGGAAGGCTATGGAAGATTCATAAGGTTGGTGACTTTAGAAGGGTAGCAAAATGATACTGTAGAAAGACAGGAAGAGAGAAATAAAGGAGAAAATAAAGCATAGGGGAATAGGAAAGAGAGATAAGAGAAGAGAGAGAAAGGAAAACAGAGAGTGGAGAGAAACTGGACCATATTATTGACAAATGCCTCTGCAACCTGCTGAACACGAAGCACCATGGATACATCTCTAAACATTTGTTGAAAGATTCACTTTGCCCATCTAGCTGACGATGGTAAAAGCTGAGCTCAATTTCAGATGGCTACCTTGCAACTTTAACAGTTGCTGCCAAAATTGAGTAAAATTAGAGTTAGAAATAAGGGTCGGGCTTGGAGGGTCGGACTTGTAAGCCTTGTTTAAATAAAAATTCGGGCTTTAAAATTTTTTTTTCAAAAGAACCGGGCTTGAGGCCCTGACCCTAATAAGCCTTGTGAAAAAGGGTTCGGTCCCAAGCGGCCCTTCAAACCCTGATAAGCCTGGTTATTTTTTTTTATACACACACACACATACATATATTTAATTGATAATGACACAATTTGGTTAATATTTATTGTAGGTGATCAAGAAGAAGTTATAAAAGTAATTGATATTGAATTTCCACCTCCATCTTCAAGAAGTGCACTTAGGGATCTAGTGTTTTATTTGTAGATGATAAGGATAAAGAGGATTTGAGTTTTGATTGATGAATGTGTGTTATTTAGATTTCTAAATATATTGTTTAATTTTTAAAATATTGTGTGAATTTTAATTTTTTTAATTTTAAAATATTTTAATTAATTTATAATGTTTAATTTTATTTTAATTTTTTTTTGAACAGGGCCTTTGGGCTCGGCCTTGAGCCCTTTACATAAGGGCTAGGCCTCAAAAAAGAGACTAAAAATGGATAATCGGGCTTAAGGGTGTCATGTCCCAAAATATAGAAGTGACTGGTATGGGATATGTACCTAAAAACCCATCCCTTAAGTCTAATTCAAGAAATATTTCATTTTAAAAATGCATTTCATTTAAATAAAGCTTTAATATATTTACTATTCTTATTTTTATATAAATAAAAGATTTCTAAACTTTTTGTAGGAATTTTGGCAAAACCTTCTCTCTCAATAAAGCCTCCTAAATATAAATCTACAACCATTTTACAAAAGCAATAGCAACAATAAGGGACTCTGTAGCCATCAGTAGATAACAAAAAAAATAATTAATAAGGATGATGACCCTAACTATAGCTTATGTAGAGCATCTGACATAATAGTTTGTAAAATAATACATGGATTTAAGTTTACATTAAAAGATGTTTAATCTACAATTCTTCACTTCCACTGAATACCACAACCCCTTAATAGTCAATGGAAGGTACAATATCAGCTAACATATCTAAGACCAAATAATAATGTTCAATGAATAGTTACATAAATTAAAGAGAAAATAATTCAATATAAACGAATTTGTAAGCTCAGAGTAAAAGTTTTATATAATTTCAATATCAAGAAACTTTAAATTTATAACGATGAAGTAGCTTAATATTTGATCTTGACAAATCAAAATAATTAAATAAATACATAAATGAAAATAATAACATTTGCTAATTAAAAACTATTAGAGTGTGAAATCATCAATTAATTAAAAATCCATAGTTTTGGAGATTTATCAGAACAATTCACAAACGTGGACACACAGTCCACAAAGATAAATAATTGAATGCAGCTTATGACACAAAGACAAACATAGACAAACAGTTCACGATGGTAAGTAATCAAACGCAGCTTGAGCTACGAAACAAATGTAAACACGCAGTCCACGAGAGTAATGCTAACCAAATGTGGCTCGGAGCCACGAAAACAAACGCGAGTACGAGACCCACGAATAACAAACATAAAAATAGAGCTCACGAAAATCAAACTAGCTAGTCATTGACCATGGCGCGCCAAGGACTAACGAAACTGCCGTTAGCAACCAATGTTCTGTATAAAATTCCCTTCAGATTCATTTTCAAACATTCGAAAAAATCATCATTATAAAAATACAGTTCCCATTCTCAAAGTCAAACTCGCATGAATAACTTTGAACATTAAAAACTTGCCAAAAATAAAGTTTCATAACTAAAGTTCAAGCTTGATATTTATTGACTAACCCAAAAATAACCAGAGTTGATAAAAATAATCTCATCAATTTTGAAAAGTATCTTTCATGAGGAAAAACACGTGCACATACCATAATTCAAATATCATTCAATATCTCTTTATAATTTCCCAAGACGAAAATAATTTAATTAACAAAATATTAAATACGTAATATAATTGTTATTGGACCATCTATAAAAAAAAATACCTTGCCAAAAAGAATTTTATTGATAAATCAGTTGGGACGCTATCTAGTTACTTATAGTATTCTCAAGATTAGCAATTCACTTATTCCAACTTCAACCAACTCCTTTTTCCCCTAAACATCTTATCCAATATACAAGGATGATTTAATGGCCTTACTCTTATTAGCAACATAATAATCAATTAGGCTTCAAATCATCATAAGAAACCCCGGGGGAGGGGGTATGTGAAATTTTCTTCAACTATCATATAAATGACCCGTAAATAAAGAAACTAATTGCTGAAAAAAATTTAATGAAACTTGGTGGCTCTTTCTTGACTATAAACTCTTCTTTATAATATAGACAAATATTAAGCAAATAATCACAACTAGTACAGAGACTTTTATTTGTGATGTGATGCACATTAAATTGTATTAAAGGAACCTCATATAAAAAAAAAGTGAACGCATCATTTCCTACAAATAATTAGGACAATTTTTTAAAAAAATAAGGAAGACTAAAAAGACTAGTCCCTACGAATTAAAAAATATTGAAATGATCCCAAGGGCATAAAAAAAAATTGTCATGTACTTTTTAATAAATTTAATATGGAAGAATGAGCCCACTTATAGCAAGGAAACAAAAGTCCTTTTATTAAATCTTTTCTCCGCTATTTTATAATTTTATAATAATAAATTTTTTTATTATTATCTGTGTGAAATATGTCAGAATTGACCTTTTAGACAGTGAATGATGTGCAAGAAGGTGTATGATGAAATTTCAAAATAGTGTCCCATATTATTAATAAGAGTTATTATTATATATGAAGAAATTTTAAAATATAATGATGCGATGTTAACATAATCTGTCATCTTAAGAATTGGTGCATGAAGCCTCTACATATTTATCAAATTTGAGTCAATCAGTTTTCTAAATGCTAATGTTACATGAACACTGTGATTATTGATTATTATATCAACTACTTATTTTGAGTTCAATTTGTGAATATGAATGTGTATTAACTTATTTAAATTTATATATTAGGTCTTTGGTTTCTTATATAATATTTTAATATTGAGATAAAAATGTAATAATTTCATAACGATTAGCTTGATCACGATCAAACTTACAAATTATGACTATTGCCGTGAGAAATTCAATAACTGTTGAGATTGAGGCTCCATGAAGGAGGGGGAGATTGCACCTAACTCATTGAAGAATTTATGTCCTCAAAATTTAAAACTCCTTCAAATTGTCTCCATCATAATTTCGTTAAATTGATCATTCTCATAGAATTTAGAGTAAAATACAAAGATCTTCATTTCGTTTTGCCAAAATTACAAAGAAAAAAAAGTCGATCAGTCATTGACCTTTTAGGATATGTCACACACGTATAGAAGAATTAAGGTGCCGTGAATAATGGTTTGCAGAGTCATTTTATAAAGAATTTTCAAAATGGGTCCCATATTAATAAATTTTATTGACCATATGTGAATAAAATTTGATGGGAATCAAATGCAAGGGCTTTTCTTTTCTTTTTCTTTTTGGGATACAAATTCAAGGACTTTCTGTTCATAATTTAAATTAGCATCAAATTTCAAATCTGAAATAATTATATATGAACAAAGTAATGAATGTCTGACGGCCTGGTGCTAAAAATTAATAATAATTAACTATCATTATTAGTAATTAATCTGAAATTTGAGTAATCACATGCAATTGGTAATTTGAATTATTTTTTTTTGCTTTTGTAAATTTAAAAATTTCGTAAGAAAGATTTGGAAAATATGTAAGATACGTTATGATGTTTGAAGTCAGACCAACTTATGTAATAATAAGATTGTTTTATAAAAACAATGTAATAATAAGATTGAATGAGAATCTTCTTAATTATTTTTATTTTTCCGATGGTCTGCAAGTTTAAATGAAATAATAAAGAAACTAACCAATGTTGCTCATACTTCAAAACACGGGGAAAAAAAATGATAGTGATAACAAATCACTTAAATTACATAAAAAAAGTTCAGGCTATACATTTAAAAGAAAACATAATACACTGATCTTATTGTCAGTACAATACTTAATTGACATGATACAACAAGCCAAACAAAGAACCAAAAAAAAAAAAAAAGACAACGAAACCACAAGAACATCCAAATCCCCAATCTCTAGCTGCCTCATTCTTCTTCAATTTGCATGAGCCCTCCTTGTCCTTTTTGCTTGTTTCATAGGTTGACCTCCAAAAAATTTAACAAGCCAACGAGGTTTCCCAATTGAGAACACAACATATCCCATAAGGATTCCAAATATCATTCCACATCCATATCCCAAGGCTACTGGTTTCCAATCAAATCCAAACTTCTCATTAGATTCAAAAGTTGATGAAGATCCATCCTTAATATTGCAAGTTTTTGACAATGGAACACCACACAATCCTACATTTCCCTCATATGAATCACTTTGGAATGTATCAAATTGTTTACCTCTTGGTATGTTCCCCTCAAGCTGATTTTGTGAAAGGTTCAAAACAGCAAGAAAGTTGAGATTTGTCAATTCTTGAGGAATCTCACCCACAATCTTGTTACATGATAGATCTAACCATTCTAGACTTGTCAAATTCCCCATTGATTTTGGAATAGAACTAGTGATTTTATTGTGGGAGAGGTTTAGCCCTATTAGTGCATGTAGCTCTCCAATGGCATTTGGAATCTCCCCTATAAATCTATTATTTGACAAGTCAATGGTGGTAAATATTGTCAAAATCCTTTCCAACTCCATGGTGTAACCTTTCCATGTGATCATCACTGAATCCTTATATGCAGAATAATTTTTATTTCCCATATATTGCGCACCAACTTCAATAATATCTATTTTCATCATTCCTTTAAGCTCCTTGATGTATGTTGTTGGCAAAGATCCACTAAAGTGGTTGTTGGAAATGTCAAAAATCCTTAACTTAGGAAATGGATGCTTGGTATTGGAACTAAGAATGGCCCCGTAAAACTTATTCTCTCTTAAAACAAGCACTTGCAACTCCGGTAAAGCATCAAGCCAACAAGGAAATGTATCCTCAATCTGATTTTGTCCAACATCAAAAATTTCTAACTGAGTACAATGACCTAAAGACATAGGCAACGATCCCTTGAGTTGGTTGTTGTTGAAATGCAGAGTTTGTAAGACATTACTCCTTGAAAAATTGTTCGGTAAAGTTCCAGAAAAATTATTCATCTGTAGATCTAGAACAGAGAGATTTGAGAGGGCAATAAGGCATTGTGGAATAGGGCCTGACAAGTTGTTGTGAGACAAGTTGAGTATCTTAAGTGAGCTTGCATTGCAAAATAGAAAGGAAATATCTCCCTTAAATTTATTGTTTGAGACTGCAAAAAATTCAGCTCCAAAGAATGGAATTGGGAGGTTTCCTTCTAATTTGTTGAAGCTAAGATCAAGAAATGTGACACTTGTATTTGAAAGGGATGAAGGCACCTGACCACTAAAATTATTGTTATTTAGTTCCAAATATTGCAATTCACTAAGCTTTCCAAGCACATCTGGTATTCCGCCACTAAAATTATTCATTGAAAGATCTAAGGAGTAGAGACATTCAAGGTTTCCAAGTGGTGATGGGAATTGACCACTAAAACTATTATTGGAAAGATATAAGGAAGTGAGATTTACAAGTTTTGAAAGAAATGCGATCCCGTCACTCAATTTGTTTGAGGAAAGGTCCAAAACTAATAATTTACTGAGCTTTCCAAACACATCCGGTATTCCACCACTAAAATTATTCATTGAAAGATCTAAAACATGGAGATATTCAAGGTATCCAAGTGATGATGGGAGTTGACCACTAAAACTATTATTGGAAAGATATAAGGAAGTGAGATTTGCAAGTGTTGAAAGAAAGGCGACCCCATCGCTCAATTTGTTTGAGGAAAGGTCTAAACTAATGAGTTGTGTTAGATTCTTGAAACTTGGAGGAATAGGACGTTCAAATTGGCAATTTCTCAGCTCTAAAACTTCAAGAAACTTCAAATGGCCTAAGGAATCTGTTAGTTCTCCTGAGAAAGGTATGCCACTGAGTTGCAAGTAAATTAGAGGAGAGCTCCAATTGAGTTTTGGAAGTTGAACCTTAACATTTGTATTCCCGCTCATATCTAGATACTTAAGATTTTCAAAATACAAAATGCTATTCGTGATATTACCTTGCAAAGAAGTTTTACTAAGAGAAAGATCAATCAAAGATGATGACAAATTCATGAGCTGAGAAAGAGACTTTGGTGTAACAGAGGACATGTTCACATGACTTAACCTTAGTACCCTTAAATTGGTTTTGTTTAGAATCAGCTTTTCCCAAGTAGATGGTTCAAGTCTAAGTGATGAACTCTCCTTCGTACCAAAATTCCAAGACAAGTCAAGTGACTCTAATTTAGACATCTGTGAGATTTCAGACGGGATTTCACCAACAAAATTATTGCCTCTAAGGCTTAAGAAAGTGAGATGTTGTAGGTTTGAAAGGAATGAGATGTCACCACTAAACTTGTTGGAAGAAATGTCCAAATAAGTTAGTTGGGTGAGATTCCTGAACCCCAAAGGAACCCGCCCTTCAAATTGACACCCACTTAGATTCAAATGATTAAGATATTTCAACTGGCCAATGGAGTTAGACATTGTTCCTGAGAAAGATGTGTCACCAAGATCCAAAAGTGAAAGAGGAGAGCTCCAATTGGACTTTGGAAGTTGACCATTGAGATCTTGATTCAATGACAAGTCTAGTTGCTGAAGATTTTTTAGGCAGAGAACATAACTTATGAGATTCCCCTGCAACTGAGTATCTTGAAGTCTAAGGGAGACCAAAGATGATGACAAATTCATGAGTAAAGACAAGGAGCTTGGTGAAATAGAAGACATATTTACATAATCTAAAACAAGTTCTCGTAGATCAGTCATGTTTAGAATGAGCTTCTCCCATGTGGATGGTTCAAGTCTTAAATCATTCATTGACAAATCAAGAGAGACCAATTTAGAAAAATATGCAATTTTGGAAGGAGTTTCACCAGTAAAAGCAGAGGAGGTTAAATTGAGATATTTGAGAGTGGAAAGCTGGCCAAATTGAGATGATATCAAGGACCCACTAAAATCATTCCAAGCCAAGTTGAGTGATTGGAGATGAGAAAGTTGGAAGAGGCTGCTATTAGGATGGAGGTGACCTTGAAGCCAGCAACAACTAAGATCAAGGCCAATCACGTGGCCCGACATGGAGTCATACGTGATCCCATCCCACAAGCAGCAATTGGAATCACTTCCCCATGAAGCTGTCTTTGGGTAAGATGAGTTCTTAAACTGAACGGTATAGGAGTGATAATCAAAATACTCATCACACCATATTGAAGCAGAACGATTGAGAGAGTTAGAGTGTTTGAATTGGAGAAGGGCGGAGGAGTCATGAGAATTACAAAAAGGAGGGTTGAGAGAAGAAGAAAGGGAAGGAGAAAGAAAGAACAAGTAGAAACAGAGAATCATTGCAAATGCCATAACTGAAGAACGTAACGTAGGAAGTAAATGATTGAGTGAATTGGCATCCACAAGATGAAGCTTCATTTATAGGAGTCTTTTCCTTACCAAAGACCTGTGGAAAGCATGACTCTGACGGCGAATGTGTGCTTAATTTTTACCACAAATTATTTTTAAAAAAAAATGAAAACGTAAAAGGCGTGACTCTAACATGCCTTCTGTTGATGTATTTAATTAATTTAGCTATAACAACTCTCATATACACAAAATTGAATAACATTAATTTTAATGTTAAGCCAATATGTCGCAATAAATTGATTTGACTTAGAATTCACATTCCAGGTTCATAACAAAACATACAGAAATTATGACATCTCTGTGGCACAAGGAGAACTAATTTTTTAATTAAAATTTTGATTTATTATGTTTCTTAATTTAGTTAACTCCTTGCCAATTCATCTTTTATATATGTTAATCCTAAAGGCTAAAAATTGATAATGAATTATTAAATGTCACAAAAAACAAAGATACTCTTGAAGTTCACAAAAAAAAAATTAATACTTTTAGTCAAAATAAAAAAAATTGATTTAATGCATTGTTTACATTTTTATTAATTTTGTAAGATTCTATATATGTATAAAAAATATTTAGAAGACAACCTAATTATAGAAATTTTGAGTTATAAAAATTATGTAATTAATTCTAAAGTTATATAATCATTTAATAAAAATATAAAATTTTTTAATTTTTTTAAATAAAAAATATAATGATTTTAACCTTCGGGGATTAGAAAATTTAATTGATCAAACTATAAAGGCTTAATTAAATATAATTAACACAGGCATGTTAATTGTTAATTGATGTTCATAAATCATATGATATACACGGACAAGTCTTCATCATCATCCTAGAACTCATTTGATTTTATTTTTTTTAGTAAATTTTGAATATGGATTTTTTTTTGAAATATTATTCTTTTTATAAGAAAAATCGGTAAGACGTTGGGTAAATGGTAATAAAAACCTGTCTCCTTAGCTTCCACATATAAATAATGAACGAAACTTGGTGGTCAGTTCTTTTTGGTTGACTTCAAAGTCTTCTCTATTAGTATAAATATCAAATACTAACAAATGGATGACTTCAATTTCTTTTTCAGTTGACTTGGAAAATATTTGGTGTACGTATAATCCATGTTTAAAAGAAGATTGTTCCTTGTACTATGGTGGCTCTTTTTTTTTAATTAAGTTGAGAAAATTAATGGTGGCTATGTTTTGTCTATAATTTGTTAAAAGATGTTCCTTATCAGATTTTTTCTATCAACAACTTAATCAACGATTTGATTATCTCTTATGTTACTGACTTACTGTTATTTATATATGAATGATATATAAATATATATTGAAGTTTTTTCAATTTTACTAAAATCAATTATTATAGAATTAAAATTCTTTTTTATTTTTAAAACTCACGCTGTGTTTGAAGAACGAAGAAACGAATGGACGGAAGTATTTATATAACTAAATATTTGTAGATTTCTTTTTCCTTTTCTTTTCTTTTTCCTGGAGAAGAACTGTCATGTGGAATTTTCTTCATATACAAAAGACCGAGAAATAAAGAAAATAAAAAAAAAAGTCAACCAAACTAGGTGGCTCTTTTGAAGTTTTCACTATATAATATGGATAAATTTTGAAATTTGAAAATCATTTTAATGCAAGTGCTTCCAAATGAATGGCTTCTGTTTCTTTTTCACTTGACTTGGAAAATTTTTGTGTGAGTAATGTTAATTGATGTTTTGAAGACTTTTCCTTATAACGTGACGGATGTGAAATTGCACCAAATGTGTTGAATTTTGAATCATTCTAATCCACTCAAATTCAAAGTATATAACACGTTATATAAAAAAGAAAAAAAACATGAAAATTTGTGTTTAACTACCATGTGGAATTTGCATTTGAATTATTGCTTGACTTAATGTTTAAAATAAACGAATAATTCAAATTTGATTAATCGTGTTAGTTGATTAAGAAATTAAAGAAGCTGTTACTCTTCACAAAAAATTTAAATTCATCTCCTATTTTTTATTTCCTTATTTAGCTACAAATTAAAATAGAACTTCATGATGTGTGGCAATTTTTCATTAATTAGTACTATAAAATGATAAAATTTTGTTTAAGAACGAGGAGAAAAGAATGACTCTGACAGTGAATGTGTGCTTAATATGTATCGTAAATTATTTTTCAACAAAGGAAAACGTAAAAGGCATGATTTTAACATGCTTTATGTTATTATTTATGATTGCGATTAAAATACATTAACATTTCTTCAATCTTACTAAAATTAATTGTTATAGAAACTTCTCTTTTATTTTTATTTTTAAAGCACACACTTCTGTGTTGGACTGTTGGAAGAACAAATTAAAGAAAAGCAAGAATGAAAGTATTTATATAACTAAATAATTGAAGACAGATTTCTTTTTTCTTTCTTTGTTTCTTTTTTGAACGACCGACATTCGGAATTTTCTACACAGTATCATATAAATGACCTAGAAATAAAGAAAATAATGACACAAAAAAAAATTAACGAAACTTGTTGTGTCTTTCTTAATTGACTTCAAAGTCTTCGTTATAATTTTTGTAATATTTTTATAAAATATTACATCAATGGACATTTTCACCCTAAATTTTATTCTGAAGGATCAGTGGGCACCCTAAATTAAATTTAAATATTTTATAATAAAGGTTAAAGTATACATTTGGTCCTTTAATTTTATACAAACTCCTTTAACTTTATAAAGTTTTTTTTTTTGTCCTTAAACATTAGTTTGATCACAACAGATTTTTATGTTAAACTTTTAAATATTGATAAAATATTTTAAACATTGACATATTAAATTTATTTTATTTTCAAAATAATAAAGATTAACATAAAAAATAATCATTTAAAACTAATAATGTTAGGGTTAAAGGACTATATTAAAATTTTATATAAAGTTATAGAACTAAAAGTATACTTTAGCCTATAATAAAAATATTTAAAAAGTTGAATTTAGGGCCCACTAACAATGAAGTTGAGATAAAATTGACCGGTGTGAATTGCACCAAATATATTGAATTTAATTTGAATCATTCTAATCCACTCATTCAAAAGTAAATAACACGGTATATAAAAAATCTTCTAAAAACTATATCCATCAATTTACTCTATTTTATAATTTTTTTGACTGAACTCTATGTTATGTTTAAATATGGACAAAACCCACAAAAATTGAAAATCAAAATTATTTGCATATATTCAGACTTCAGCTTACTTGAGTTATCTCCAAGCAACTTCAATTGTATCACTATGAGCATTAAGTTAAAATATTAATCAACTGTGGATGCGTGTCTCAGTCTCACTCCTTGCGTGCATGCATTGTGATTATATTATTTCAATATAAATTTAACAATTTTGAGATTCATGCAACATAAAGTTAGTGAATGACTTTGCCCTCAATACCTCAATGGAAATAATCTGTAGAACCTACTTCTTGTACTGTAAAAAATGTTAGTGAATGACATTTTATAATATGTATAGTTGAATTGATGTGCCATGAGAAAAGGTTAATTTGCAAGTAGTCATCCTATATTAACAAATTTTATTGACCGCATGTGTCATATGCATTGTAAAATCGAGGATTAGGCTTGATGGACGAACACAAGCAAACACCTTATATTACTCAAGTATAATTAAATTAACTACATCGCATTTAGAATAATTATTAACAAAGCATTGGATGTCTCTCATGCTCTTAACTATAATTAATAATAGGAAAAAATTAATTATTTGGTTATTGTAATTTTGAATCAATTGAAATTCAGTTCTTGAATTTTGATTTATTATAACTTGGTCCTTGTAATGTTGACCAATTATAACTTTGTTTCTAAATTTTGACTCTTATAACCAAAAGAATCTCATTCACTCATTCAAAGTAAATAACATGGTATAGAGATATATGAGATATCTAATTAAGTTGAGCAAATAACAATGTTTAATCTTGCCTTTACTTTTTCAAAGACGTTCCTTATCAGATTTTTTAACAACTTAATCAACACGATTTGATTTTAACTCAATGTTACTGTTATTATATTTGGAAGAAATTAAAATATATTGACCTTTCTTCAACTATACTAAAATTAATTATTATAGAAACTTCTCTTTTTTAAAAAACAACACACACTTATATGTTTGAAGAATAAAGAAAAGCAAGTATGGATGTATTTATGTAACTAAATATTTGAAGAAAAATTTCTTCTTTTTATTTTCTGAAGAACCGTCAATTCACAGTCACATTATCATATAAATGACTCAAAAATAAAGAAAACAATAAAAAGAAAAAATTAATGAAATTTGTTGCCTCTTTCTTACTTGACTTCAAAGTCTTCACTATAATATGGACAAATATTAAACAAACCGTTTCACAAGGTTCTACTTTTTTTTTTCACTTGACTTGGAAAATTTTTGTGTAATTAGCATTCATTGATGTTTAAGATTTCTCCGTATAATGTGACGCGTGAAATTGCACCAAATTTTAAAATTTGAATCATCCTAATTCATCCATTCAAAGTCAATAACACGTATGCAAGAAACAAGGAAAACTTTTCTTTAACATTAAAGTATACACCATAAAAAACAATCTTCACTCTATTTTATGTTTAATATGGACACAGCCCACAAAAAATGAAAATAAAACTATTTACACTACTCCAACTTCAATTACTTAGCTTGAATTATCTCAAAGTTACAAAAACAAATCTACTATATAAGAGTGTCAAGTTAAAATATTAATCAATTGTGGATTAGTGTGTCTCTCACTCTCACTAACTCACTCACGCTTGCATGTATTGTGATTATATATTATTTGATTTAAATTGAACAATTTTGAGATTCATGCAAAATAAAGGTAGTGAATGACATTTTATGATATGTATAGATGAATTGTATGGTCATCCTATAGAATTTTCAATAATGGTTCTGTGTTAACAAA